GCCAAGATGGCGGCACCCACAATAATTTTTGGGGAAAAAGTGCCGATACTCTAAGCATAGCTCATTTGGTTTAGCTCACAGGCTAAACCAAGTGCGGCGGGGGACCGTTGGCCGAGTGTGGTGTGGCACCGCAGATCAGAGCATGTGGAGAAATGCTCGAGCGCGAGCTCCGTTCAAAGCACGGAGCTCACGCTTCGGAACCCAACGTTGGCGGAACGTGTAGGGACTAAATACCCTCGATGTGTTTGCGTTGGTCTTTCAAGTAACGGTCAAATGTGCCAGTGCACGAGGCCCGTGTCTCAAGTGGCTCTTGGAGGCAAATGGCGGCGCAGCACTAAAATGACTGGCCCTTGAAAGCGAATGGCGGCGGAGCACCCGCTCGTGGCACGTGTCTTGCGCGTTTCCCCAACAATGATTGGCGGTACTTGTAAAAAACGCCTTTATCAAGGGGCTTTAGCAGGGACCCTGGGTTCAGTCGCCCATCTGCATCCTACCGTCGTGCGATCGTGTACCACATATACTGCGTAATGCACGTTAATGACCCCGAGCTAACAGTTGTACTGCACGTTTTATAACCTTCAACGGGTAACAATGTCGCCCTACGAAACTGCTGCTCTCTAAAATCTAATGACTAGTTTTGAATGTGCCGTTACATTGCATTTTTAATGTGTGTTCGCTTGTTCACGTTCTTTGTTGTTGTTTTTTTGTCTACATCTTTGATTATTCGGCCCTTACTTATGATGAACCAGACTATAGGTGTCGGACTTCTGGAAAAATATTATATATCTAAGAAAATGGCACTTAAACGCAACAGACAAAAAAAAAAAAAAAAAAAAAAACATAGGCGCACTTAATAAAATAATTAAAATAATAAAATTGATTATAATTGTGTTTCTAAAGGTTTGAGCGTACCAAGAGCTATAAAAACGAACTCGATGTTTTGGATGGTGCGTTTGTTCACTGGAAGTATAGTTCAGGGCAGTATGCTCGCACTTGTATGTGCCGCTTCGCTCGCAGGGTAAAACCAAATAATTTACTGGTAATGTATTTAGTGAAACAAAGCTTGTCTTCTGTATATGTGCAATGCCCTCAGTTTTCGCGTGACTACACACTTGTTTATCATAATTTATTTTCGTTTCCCACTGCAATTCAGTTCGTGTTCTTTTGCGTGCTACATGCATTAGAGGCCAATGTAACCCAGAAGCATTCTATTTTGCGGATTGTAAAAAAGCCTATGCAACTTGCCACGTGTGCCACAATCAGTACAAAATATTATAAGCTTCACATATGCCCGCTTGCCTGAGTAAACATCGTTGTTTGTCAAGAACAATTGTGATTGTATGAAATCACGTGGGAAAAAACTCGTTCTAAGCACGCGACCGTCGGCATGCAGTGAATACTCATAATCGGCGCCGAGATGATTAGTAGCTGTCAGCAGGTGGAGTTTTTCTATCAACCCAAGCTTAGGATGTTTCCTTTTTTTTTCTTGTAAGCAATGAGGAGAGGACTTACACCAAAATGTAGGGCTGTTTCATTCTTAAGTACCATGTGAGTGCTTACACTATATTTTATACAATGTCAAACTGTACCCGTTTGCATCTTTTTTTTTCATTTTTGCACACCACTACTTGCGCGCATAAATCACCAAATCATCAAATTAAAACTGGTACAGGATGCCACAAAAAATGCAGTTTTTTTTTACCTCAAAAATAAACTACGCATCGTTTAACGCTCATTTTCCGCCAAAAGGTAGCGCTAGGTTACAACCAGATGCCAAAGTTTCATCCCGAACGGACACCTCATTCAAAAAGTGATTTTCTGAAAATTTCAATGGGAAAATGAAGCCCATTTTTGCCCGTTTTCGGTTTCTGGTGCCATAGAGCCGCATGTATTCGAAAGCTCCGTCGGCCGCCATTTTCCCAGTGAACGTTTCAGAAAATAACTTAAATTTTGAATAAAGTATTGGATCGGGCTGAAACTTTGGCATCTGGTTGTGACCTCTAGCGCTGCCTTCGGGCGGAAAATGAGCGTTCAGCGATGCCTAGTTTATTCTTGCGGTAAAAAAACAGACCCCGTAATTTTTTTTGTAACATCCTGTACTATGCTTAAACTGTGCTTAAACATAGTACAGGATGCTTAAACGTCTTGTACTATGCTTAAACCACAGACCAAGAATCTTTGCCTGGCCAGTCATTGCATTTATCACTGAAATCGTTAATTATTATAATAACGAAATAATGATAAATAATTATTATCATTTATTGCTGTGAGTAAATTTTTAACCTCGGCATTTCTTTTTTTATTATGACTCCCGCACCAGCCCTACTTTGGGCTTACCAAACTCAACATCTAAACCTGAGTGTAATTTTTTTTGTGTTTTCCAGTCTCGTGGTTTTGGTCAAAATGAACACCCAGCTACCTAAATGAGGCACCTAACCACCCAAAAATAGTTTATTATTTTTTTTTTTAGGTGGTTAATTCCCTAAGCTAGAATTTTGGACACCCAAGTCTATTCCGTCAGCTCGTTTTCCTGGAAATCCACAAAGAGCCAAACACATGCACGACAAAAGCACCGGCCCCTCATATTGCAGCCCGCCGAGCCGAGAAAGCAACGCTCAGTCACGGACTTCTAGAAGATTTGCGTTCATTCTTTCACCAAGCGTAACTTTCGCCCTGTTTTCTTGCTCTCGAAAGTGCCAGTTCATCCTCGCCCCGAGCGCGCGACGCTCGAACCTTCTTTGCCGAACTTTCGAGATGGTGACGCACTGTTGATAAGCAGCTGCCGGCGACCTCGTCGAGTCACTCTCGCTCTCGCTCTCTGTCACGCTGCCGAACCGCCGCCTGCTTTTCTGCTACCTCGACGCTCTTTCCTTACTTTTTTTTTGTTTGGCACAAGTTCGCCGATTAAGCCTTTATTTTTCAGTTCACTATTCGTCCTCGTGTCACCTTCATTCGTGTCAACATAAATCTGATCATATTGAAATATGTGTCATTGGCCTCTGAAATCTCCGGTAACGGCGCACAGGCAATTTTATATATTTCAACACGTCGGTGGTTTGGTTGTGCATGTGTCTCGCCATTTGGCTCAGGACGATTTCCGCGTTTTGTTTTGCCCACATTTGCTAGAGACGTGAGCTCGGAGCGTAGGCAACTGGCCCCCTTGCACGAGAACTGGCGCAGCTGTGCGCGTTCCAAAGAAAGCTCGTGCAGAGAAAAACAAGCAAGGGACCAGGGATGTCAAATTCAGGGTATAGAAAAATACCCCACTATATCGAAGCGCCACCAGACACGATTTCTTGGATTGATAAACAGGCATGGAAGGCGATCCCACTGCCATCTGTTGATTCAGAATCACACTGACCAAGGGTGGGGTTGCACCTTAAACCAATCTCATCAGCTAGTTTGAGTACGCTACCGCTGCCGATATGCATCGTGCGAGCTGTAGTTTTTCTGCACGCGCGACAGCCCTGCTGGAGGTCTGCGCGAGCAGACCACGGGTCAGCATGAGCTGTCGCGTGAACTGGCGTCTGCCTCCTACGAACTACAGTTATGGCGGCGTCACGCATGCGTGGAACGCTTGGTGAGATCGGTTTATTTGAAAGGCTTTTTAGAGTAACCTCTCATTCACACTGGAAGCGGATCCGCGTTCGCAAAGTGGTTGCGAATGCGGTTGCATAAAGATCCAGTACAATTGCACGCGCACTCGATGTCATCGAGTGCGCGTGCAATGGACCTTTTCCGAGAAGCGTTCTGCGCACGCGCGAGCGCCCGATGCCAAGCGGTGGAAGTCGGCACGAAAAAATCGAGGAAATTCGGAATGAGGCTGCAAATCGACGAGTAGAACACGTAATTGCAGCATATATATAATTGTGTTACACAAAAAAAGAAAGCGGACGGAAAGAAAAACACGACGTTTGGGTTAACGCTACGGATTTCCTTCTTAAAAGTCGCGCTAGGCCTACCTCGTTGCGTTGGGCAGGCGACGCTGCTCAGACAGCGAAGCAACTGGTAACGTAGCTCCCATTATCGATGGTAGCGCAGGTAGGTCACTTCCTTGATTTTTGGTTCGTGCAGCCACCGCCTGATGCCGTCGGTATTTGGAAAAGGTCCATTGTACTGGATCTTTATACCACCGCGTTCGCAACCGCTTTGCGAACGCGGACCCGCTTCCAGTGTGAATGAGCGGTAACGGAGGCTATTCTCACGCACGGGTATCATGCACGCGATGGTATCTTTGTCAGGCTTGCTATCACTCGTTCTTACTTTACGAGCACCGAACGACTAAACGCCTGCCTAAGGTCATCGCGAGCACGCTGCATGTGTTGGAGGCTTGTCCGCATCGGTTGTTTTTATTCGTCGCTCTAGTGGCACACGGGCATCATACAACATACAAAAGACGGACTGCAAACACGAGTCCCAGCAATATCCGTGGTTTCGAATGCCGGGTTCAAGCGAATCGACCGCAGACGCGTGGCGCGAAAGCTTTTCTTTTCTTTTGTTTATGCTTGTTTCTCCTTTTACTCGTCGCCAAACAACATTCGAAGCACGTATCTCGCGGTGACTCGCGCTCCATTCTTTATAGAAACTGTATTTTCTGTGATGCATACGCGGTGTAACCGCGGCTTTAGGGTCCTAGCCCTGGGACACGTTGATTTACACCCTTAAGGGTGTAAACAATTTTAGTGTGTGGTTGGATATCGACGGTAACCGCTCATTCACACTGGAAGCGGATCCGCGTTCGCAAAGCGGTTGTGGACGCGGTTGTATAACGATCCAGTGCAAGTGCACGCGCACTCGATGTCATCGAGTGCGCGTGCAACTCTACTGGATCTTTATAGAACCGCGTTCGCAAAAACCTTGCGAACGCGGATTCGCTTCCATGGATGAGCGGTAAGGATTGGTTCAACGACAGCTCGCCCATGGTCGCTGCCATGTGCAAATCTCTTCAGTGAACACAAACACAGAGCTGACTGCAGCGCCCCGGTTAAGGAATTACGTACGCTTTGAGCGGTGGTGGCGTACCACTCCACTTGAACAGTCCTTCCGGGAGGAACGTTGACTCCTGTGGACACCGCAAACGTCTTGAGTGTCGTCTGACTGTCGGTTGTCGTGGTCTCAGAGTTGTATTTAGTTCCGAAGGTGCCACTCAATCCAAACACTTTTTTTAATGACACACCTCCTGAAGTTTCAATGCCCAGGGTGAATCCATTGCTTACTTTTAAAGATGATTTTTCTTTGCGAATGGTAGTATGCGTGACGGTGTATGCTTGGGTTGCATTCGATTCGTTGTCGTAGAGGTTAGCGTACAGAAGGCTGCGGTTACCGGGAGCTATTTTTGGATCACTCATTTTTACCGTGCCCCCTTCGACTTGTATATAAAATCTAAGACATAAAAACAAAGAGAAGAAAATGTCGTCAGATTTATCTAATATACATTTTAAAAGCAATGAACCAATCAATTAACCGTTTATCATTCAACGTGGAGATTTCCTATTATCGCTGACCAATATGAGCATGGAAAACGTGACACTGATGTGCTTACCTCCCACGAATAGCGACATGTATTTTGTTTTCATTGGTAAATGCAATTTCTTTTTATAGTAATAATAGGTGTTGTGTGGATATTTATACAACGTATAACGATCAGGCGCATCAAAGTTGCGTTGAGTCCCTCGCTCTAGATGAGCAATTTGACCAGTGCAGTACAACCGCTAGCCTGGGGTCTTTAACCAATACCACCTAGAATTTCTTTAACGCGCATCACACAGCAGTGATACACGACCGCACGCCGATACGATGCTCATCCCGATCGAATCGGGCAAGGGTGGGGATTTAAACCAGAAACCCTGGTTCTGCAGTGCGAGCTTTCGCTTCACGTGCTCCGAGCTGGTGTGCGCAGGAACCCTCGGCCACCGATCCCCCCCCCTCCGCACCTGTGTTCATTCTCACCCTTTTCCGTTTCGATCTGGATGAGCATCGTACAGGCGTACAGGCGTGTATCACTACAGCATGGCGCACGTTAAAGACTCCAAGTTAGCAGTTGTACTGCACTGGCTAAATTGCTCATCTGCAGTGGAATGTCGCCATTTTCGGGCAGACTAACCTCCAGGGCCCGTTTGCTCACAGCGCTAACCGCGGCTAAAGTTAGCCGCAGTGCCTGGGAGAGGGATTTTGAAATCACGTGACTGGGCTCGGTAGGGATGCGGTGAAACGTGGCGGTGCCCCGGTGAGTGAGCGCCGCTCGCTTTGGAGCTAAAATGTCGTTGTAGCTGCAATATTGAGCGCGTTAGTTAGCAACGGATGGTGCAGAAGGCTTTCGCTTTGCCTTACCTGACTTAAATCACAAAGCATAAGCAATGACCTCGTCGCATTTTTTAAAATAGTCTTTCGATTCTGGTCATTTCTAAGCCTAAATGAAATAGCAACGTCTTTGGAAAGCGGATTGCCTTGACTCAATCGGCCGGGTATTGATAGCACACAAAAGCAGACAGCGTCCCAATTGGTCCCAGTGGACCTTTTTCTAAATTACCCAAGCATCGAGGAGAACGCTGGAAGTGTAATTCTATGGCCCCCGCGCGCTAGCCTTCCTCTTATAAAAAATTCAAAGTAAATAATCATAATAAGGCTTCGACGAACGCGCTTGCAAGGCAAAATTTGTTTTAGATTTTTAGCCTTAGAACAACTACTACTGTAGACGCCAGCACGTGCAACGCATGTAACTTCACCCGTAGCATGCACCTTGGGGAATTTAGAAAGGGAATTTAGAAAGGGCATTCACTCTGGTGAGGGGGCCCGTCATTGTTAAGGAAGATAGAAGGGTAGGAGAGGGCATGACGCCAGCCGCGTGGCCTCCACAAGCCATGCCCCCGTGACGCCTCGCCTCTTTCTCATTTTCCTCCTTACTCTCCTCACGCCGACGACTCTCCTCAGGCCGACGTGACAACATCACGTGCCCGTAGCTAGCCTTCGTCACGGTGTAAGATACACTTTTTAGGTGAGGACACAGCGGGGCTGAACGCGCGGCGCGAGGAATCAGATAGCGTTCGTTCGACGGGCGTCCGAAAGGCTGCATTATTCCGCGGCCACCGTGCCCGCGGCTGACAGTGTCACCGGCGGTCAAACGGCGAAACTGTGTGAGAGCGAAAAAAATGGTGTCGTTGCCATGACACCCCGGTACACCGTGGTCTTTTTGCACGAGCCACAACCTCGCTGGACCTCTGCGCGTGTGGAGCATGAGGTGGCACGAGCAGTCTTTGTCGTGACCATGGGTCGACGAGTCATCTTCCGGCGCCGCTTGAAAGCATAGTGAGAGAGAGAAGGAGAGAGAGTGAAAAGCGAACCTTATCTGCACTGCGCGAGGAGCGCGGTGTCCTCACCTGAAGAGTATTATCTTACACCGTAACCATGTTCAACGTTTACCAACTCGCCCAACTTACTACTCTTCGTCTAGCCCTCTACCTGATAAAACCTACCGGACGCAGCGCTGCAAGCCTGCAAGGAGTCCTTGTACAATCAACCATCCATCTCACACGTGACGTGTTACGCGCACCCATTGCCAGAGAGATCTACGGTCACGCTGGACACAAAATCGTTTAAACTTTTTATGACTAGGCTTCACCAATATTGCAACGTGCCCTCTCCTAGTACTCTAACCTCCTTGGTCACTGTAGTGCGGCTGGCAAAAGTGAGGGGGCCCCGTTTTAGCGAATAATGGGAGTGCGCGTTAACCCATCCGCCGTGCTGCGCTTACGCCTCTTCGCGGGGACAGTCCGCGGCGGCTCATAAAAAAATGTGAACCCACTTGGCTCAGCCGAAAACGCCGCTTCACGGCGTCCGACTATTCGCTATTCACCGCAGTGCGGCCGGCAAGAGTGAGGGGGTCCGTACTGTGTTTTGTGTGGTGGGAACAGTGAGAATTAATAACTTGTAGTTAACAAGCACATTAACCCACGCTTCGTGGTCCTGTCTTTGTCACTGTCCCTGTCCGTACACGTAAATATAGCGTGTGTGACCTAAATAAAAAAATAAAAAAAAGTGAAAGCCGTTTACAACTCCCTCTAACGCCAAATTGGAGCGCAGCTCTTGAGGAGGAGGAGGGAAGGGTACTGAGGGGAGGGTAGACCCCTCCTACTCCTCCTCCTTCTCGTCCTCCTCCCCTCATTCTTTAATATGCTCCGGGGAGGTCACCTGACCTCGGGGGGGGGGGAAGGGGGGCCACGCGACCTGGGGGGCCACGTGATCTCAGGGGTCACGTGACCTCGGGGGTCACGTGACCTCGGGGGTCACGAGACCTTGGGGGTCACGTGACCTTGGGAGGGATCACGTGACTTTGGGGGTCACGAGACCTTGGGGTCACGTGACCTAGGGGGTCATGTGACCTTGGGGTGACCTTGGGGGGTCACGTGACCTTGGGATGACCCAGGGTTGGGCAGTATCGCGATACAAATGTATCGCGATAGTATTTCAGAAATACATTTCGTATCTGTATTTTTGTATCGCGATACATTTTTTTCACCAGTATCTGTATTCCTGTGTCGAAATACATTTGGAATATTTCGTTGTATCGCAATACAATCAGGATGAAATGTATTTCGTTACATTTCTTGAGAAATACTCCCCCCTCCCTCCCCCCCCCCCCCCCCCCCCCCCCCCCCCCCCTTGAGGGCACCAGAGTCAAGGAGATGCTGGGGCATTGTTACCATGCTGACCAGTGAGTGAGTGAAAACTTTATTAAAAGGAGAAGTAGGATGTGGTCAGTATGCGATGTCCAGACCATGTAGGTCTCGGACTGCATAGGCCCATTCGACGGCCTTGACTTGAGTGTCTGGGTCGTCGCTGGCCTTTACTGAGAGCCACGCCTCGAGTGAGGGAGCAGCCATGAGATCTGGGGTTGGAGGGTGCGCTTTGCAGTCCCAGATCATATGATCTAAAGTGGCTTTTTCACCGCAGAAGCGGCAGTTCGGGCTAGAGATTTGAGCAAATATGTGCGAGTATACATTTGGGTTGGGGAAGGAGTCCGTCTGAAGTCTTCTCCACGCTACCTGCTGCTCCCTCGAGAGAGAGCGGTGCGGCGGCGGGAATTTTCTTCGTCGGAGTTTGAAATGGGTGGCGTGGTCGTGGTAGGAGGTAAGCGGTTCACCGGTTGCCTCCGGAATCGGACTGTCCACTGCTCGGCCGGCTCTAACTCGAGCTTGTGCGTGGGCAGCCTCGTTTCCGGGGTTTCCGGCGTGCGCCGGGACCCATACCAGGTCAATTTCTCGGAGGGGGGATGTCTCGGCAACATTTTCTAGGATATTTCTGGCTGTGAGTGAGATTCGGCCTTTGGCATAGTTGGTGATGGCGTATTTAGAGTCGCTCACGATGGTTGTAGCTTCTGTAAAGGCAATGGCCGCTGCAATTGCGGCTTCCTCCGCTTTTTCCGCGTTTTTGGTGAATACCGTAGCGGCAATGAGTGGGGTGGCCGCGTCAGAGTCTCGGGGATGGGGTACCCCGCAGATGGCGAACCGGTGGCGGCTGTCTTGATAGTTGGCTGCGTCAACGTATATGACGTCCTGGAGTCTCTGCAAGTGTCGATGCATAGCCCTGGCTCTTGCCTCTCGTCGACCCTGTTGGGTTTGCGGGTTCATGTTCTTTGGTAAAGGTTTTATTCCAATCTTTTTTCGTATATAGCCTGGAACGGGGCCTGGATGGTCCGCCATAGGTTCTCCTTCAATGCCCAGTCTATCCAAAATCATTCTCCCCGGTGGTGTGCTGGAGAGTCGAGCCGTCTGTGTGGTTAGATGTGCTTCTTTAAGTTCAGAAAAGGTGTTGTGTACTCCCAGGGCGAGCAGTTTCTCGTTGGCCGTAAATTTAGGTAGGCCCAACGCCGTTTTATATGCGTGTCGGATTAGAATGTCAATCTTTTGTTCTTCTGCCTTCTTGAGTCGGAGGTACGGGAAGGCGTATGTGATTTTGGTGATGACGAAAGCTTGAAGGAGCTTGTGTAGGTCGTGCTCCTCCATACCTCGTCTTTTGTTAGCGATGCGCCTGATCATGCGCGCTACCTGGTGAACTTAGCTCTCGAGTTTCCCAAGGGCTGCAATGTTGCTGGGGGTGTTGGAGATTAGGAGTCCTAAGACACGTACGTTCTCCACTTCTTCGATGTTTTGGCCTTGAATCTTTATGTCAATTGGGATCTTGTCTTCGGGTTTTTTGCTCCGTCTAAGGACTAGGAGTTCTGATTTGGGCTGGGAACATTCGAGGCCGGCTCGCCGTGCCTCCTCTTCTACGGTGTCAGCCGCTGCTTGGAGAGCTTCTTCTATTTGTCCTTCCGAGCCGCAGTTCGTCCAGATGGTAACGTCGTCTGCATACAGAGTATGATGGATGTTTTCAATGGCGTTGAG